ATAATGCATTTTTTTAAAAACGAAGCATTAACACATGTTAGACCGCACCCTATAAACACAATGAAGCCTAGAAAAAAAACAGTCAACCACCCCTTCAAACAAAAAAATCCCTTTTATTCTAGCTTAAAGTAGGGCTGCACGATAAATCGAAATGGAATCGTGATCGTGATTCGACAGAAGCTGCGATTGTCATGCGTATCTTTCAGTGAAGCACGGTTCTGTGATCAGCAGTAAATCTCCATCCGAAGGCCAGAGAAACTCCAAATACGCCTCGCAGAAGAAACCCAGAAAATGCCTATCGCTGCAGCTGAATAAACAGAAGATTCAACTGCTTTCATTGATTCAACGTGACTAATAAACACACGACTACGGCAATATACGGTTTATCAGAGTTCTTATTATTATAATTTTCATTAAAATAAAGTATATTTATAATGCAATGCCTTTATCACTGCTTAAATACTTTTTTTATTACTGTTGTGTGCCTTATTCTGTGTAAGAAGCCACATCATCTCACAGAAGGATTTATTTCAAACACTCGACTGACGCTATAAATGAGTTTGGAGTAAAAATATGTTATTAAATGTGGTATTTTCACATGCTTTCAGATGGAGCAGCATTTACTTCACAGAGCCGTAGTTCACCGAGAAGCTAACGATTTCATAATCACAATTTTTTTGTGTAGCCTCTCAGTGAACTACGGCTCTGTAGTAAATGCTGCTCCATCTGAAAGCATGTGATGGAGATTTAGTACTGATCACAGAACCGGCTTTACTGACGAGGTACGCATGACAATCACATTCGATTAATCGTGCAGCCCTAGCTTAAAGCATTCTTTTTTTAATCAACACTTGGATATAGGTAGGTTTCATAAAGATGCATAATTGAGCAAAAAGGTGAGAAAATCAAATTTTTAGCAAAAACTACATCTGGATAATATTCAGTAAAATTATCAAAGCATAATCCATCAACACCTCCAAAGCTTGCACAGACATATACCACGTCCTGGATCAACATGTAACTCCGTAACATTATGCAGTTTTCATTTATATGCGGTCTATTGCTGATGATTGCATTATTTTCATATGCATCTGTTTACATGAGAGATGGCTCGTTTCTCCTCCTGGTCACGTGTGTTTTTGTTCGGGAGGTTTTGTACTCGTTCAGATGTGTAACAGCGCCCCGAGTGTATAACAGTGAAAACTCGTCTTTGGCGGGGAAGCGTTTTCTTCTAAAAGACGAGATAACTCGTCAATGGCGGGGAAAGAGTTAAAAACAGTATTCTTCCACCAAACAATGTAGCTCCTCAGAAACAGTCGTGGTTGCTACAAAGTGGTTGCCGAGCAACACACAAACATAAACAAAGGTGTGTTACTTTGTAGCGTCATTTACAACAGCTTGGAACGCGGCTCAGCCAATCAGAATCAAGGACCGAAACTCTCCGCTTTATAAATCACAGTAACCTGTAAAGTATGATTTAATTAATTCTCAATACATAACTGGAGAAAATGCAGCGCATGTCAATAAACTAGTGCTGTCAAACGATTAATCGAGATTAATTGCATCCAAAATAAAGTTTTTGTTTACATAATGTGTGTGTGCTGTGTATATTTATGATGTATATACACATACATACAATATATATTTTTAAATTATATACATGTACATACATTTATAATCATATAATTTATTTAATATAAACATTTTTCTTAAGTATATACACATGCATGTATGTGTATTTATATTTACATAAACATACACCGTATTATGTAAACAAAAACGTTTATTTTGGATGCGATTAATTGTTTGACAGCACTAAAATAAATTCTTGTTTTCATTTACAAAAGTGGCTTAAGAAGTCTGATTAAAACAAAACAGCTCATTTTGCTTACTATAAGCAGTTACATTACACTGGAATATTTACCAATTTTAATGCGGCTAATATTCAACGATTAAATGTGTTTATTAACTGGATCTAACTGAAAGTACACTGGCAGAAACCCTGAGTATTTCACTCTGATGCTGGTCTGAGGCCAGGTCTCTCTGTATGAATGACCCACAGAGGAACCTCAGCACAGCACACACGGCCCCGGCGCCGGAGACTCGCGGCGCACACACGGCCCCGGCGCCGGAGACTCGCGGCACACACACACGGCCCCGGCGCCGGACACTCGCGGCACACACACACGGCCCCGGCGCCGGAGACTCGCGGCGCACACACGGCCCCGGCGCAGGAGACTCGCGGCGCGCACACACACACACACACACACACACGGGTGTGCTTACGTAGTTTTTGATCTCTCTGCGGGCGCTGCCGTCGATGGCCAGCCATCTCTGCTGGTGCTGCGTCTTCACATCCGGGTCCTTGGAGGTCAGCGAGTTCTTGACCTGCAGCCCGGCGGCCACTCGCGCCACCTGCGTGTTCCCGGGGTTGGCCAACACCTTGGACAGCTCCACCAGGAACGTCGGCTGAAACCAAGACAGACAGCGGATTTAGTCGAGCCACAGAGCTGCTGCGAGCACCTCCGCCAAACTAGAAACAGGTGCAGCATGCAAACGGAGTGAAAGCGCCTGGCTAGCATTCCAATGTGTCCCAGCACAGCCGCCAGAGCCTCACCCAGCGCGGTGAAGGACAGGCGACGCAGACACAGGCGTACAACAGCGCCCTCAAGCTGTATTACTGGCACTACACTCCTGCAGCGCTGAGCAGTGTAGCCAATCACAGACATACCTGCTGGTCATCTTGAAGGCAACAGCCAATCAGAGGCATCTACACTAGAATCCACTCACCGCTGACTGATCAGTGTTTGTTCATTAGAAGAGTGCAGCTGGAGATTTATAGTGTGGCTAGAGAACTTCACTGATTATAACGCCACTTCTCTTATTTACATCACGGCTACACTGATCGTGCACCTGAACAGAAGCTCCAGTGAGCGGAGCGGTGAGAGGAGAGGATTCTAGCCAACGCCTGGGACTCTAGAACAGGCATCTGTGATTAGCTCCACCGCTCAGCGCTGCAGAAACACAGAAACCGATCTCCAAGTCTGCCCCTTCTACAGCTCTGAGTGAGGGCAGATCCGGGCCTGTGCAGGAGTGCAGAGGTCAAAGGTCAGGCACAGCAGGTTTGCTCACCAGGTTCTCGATGGCCGCCTGCTCCAGGAACTTCTGCGCCGCCTCCAGCTCATTCCGATCTGAAAAGCAATCACAGCCGAGAATGAAGCAACATGTAGAGAACTTCACTGATTATAACGCCACTTCTCTTATTTACATCACGGCTACACTGATTCGTGCACGCCTGAACAGAAGCTCCAGTGAGCGGAGCGGTGAGAGGAGAGGATTCTAGCCAACGCCTGGGACTCTAGAACAGGCATCTGTGATTAGCTCCACCGCTCAGCGCTGCAGAAACACAGAAACCGATCTCCAAGTCTGCCCCTTCTACAGCTCTGAGTGAGGGCAGATCCGGGCCTGTGCAGGAGTGCAGAGGTCAAAGGTCAGGCACAGCAGGTTTGCTCACCAGGTTCTCGATGGCCGCCTGCTCCAGGAACTTCTGCGCCGCCTCCAGCTCATTCCGATCTGAAAAGCAATCACAGCCGAGAATGAAGCAACATTTCTGAGGCCCGCCAGACGCGCCGCAGCCCCATAAGCGAGCGCAACCCTCGACTCTGAAACTTTCTGAAGCGGACCGCAGGGCATGACTGCGCGCTAGCCATGCTAACGCCTAGCCACTTCCTGCCTAGCATGCTAACCCGCTGATCACTCCGGACGCCTGGCGAAGAGCTCGATGTGTTCAGGAGCAGGCGCATAATCACGGCATCTGCGCAGGCCGGCAAACGCGACGCCGCTCTGACGCCCGATGCGCGCGTCGACGGTCTGAAGCGTTAAACGCTGTCTGTGTTCCTGCAGCGTCGCGGGGCCTGCGCGGCACTAGCGCGATCTGGACCCCGCGCGCGAGCAAGCGCGGGACTGACCTGGAGACACGGTTTTCTCGAGGATAGTGATCAGCTCCATCCTGACGGGAGAGTCGAGGCAGAGCCTAATACCGAAGACGAGCCGTTCCCGCGGTGCTGCTTCTCGTCAGCCGCTGTCGCGAGGGAAAGGCCGCGCCGAACTCCCGCCCGCGGAACCACATCACGCGCTGACGTCAGAGGCGCCGCCCATCCGGCGTCACGACGCACGCTGCGTAGCGGCTGACGCGCTTCTGAGCGTCGCACAGGAGGAGATCTGCTGGCTGCAGTCAGTGTGTGGGGGGTACAGAGATTATGTTACTAGTAGTGTAACTAATTACACATTTGCCTGCACTTTGTATTAAAGGGGTCATATGATGTTGCTAAAAAGAACATTATTTTATGTATTTGGTGTAATGAAATGTGTTTATGCGGTTTAAGGTTAAAAAACACATTATTTTCCACATACTGTACATTATTGTTTCTCCTCTATGCCCCGCCTTTCTGAAACACTCTTTACAAAGCTCATCGATCTGAAAAGCGTTATAAATCTGAATATTTGGGTTGAAGTGTTCTGGAACAGTGTTGTAAATATACACATTTGCCTGCACTTTGTATTAAAGGGGTCACATGATGCTGCTAAAAAGAACATTATTTTATGTATTTGGTGTAATGAAATGTGTTTATGCGGTTTAAGGTTAAAAAACACATTATTTTCCACATACTGTACATTATTGTTTCTCCTCTATGCCCCGCCTTTCTGAAACACTCTTTACAAAGCTCATCGATCTGAAAAGCGTTATAAATCTGAATATTTGGGTTGAAGTGTTCTGGAACAGTGTTGTAAATACAACTTAACCACTGATTTCTAGTCGTGTCCTCTTTTGGAAGACCAAACAAAGTATTTTCACCTTCGCAACGAAACACACAGCGTCTTCACGACATGGCGGCAGCAACAATACTACAGCGAGAATAAAAGTTACGCCTTCTTTCTTTGCGTGAACATTTGGGCAGCGTTATGCAAATCTTCCCACATCGTGACGTAGATATGTGGGGGCGTGTTAGAACGAGCCGTTTTAGGTAGGTGTGACTGACTCTTAACTTTTATAAAGAATATCTCTTTGGATTTGAGACTTTAGTCTTTGCAACTTTACAGATCTTCTTTATGCACCAAGAGCTTGTAACACTCCAAAGAGAAAGGAA